CTTGTTTTTACTTCAAGTCCTGTCATTCAGAGTGATGCTATTACCATGGTACTAGTAGTTTGTGTTGTGGTGTTGTGTGCAGCTCTACAATGTACGTGCAAATGCAGTCTTCTTGATGTTGAAAGCGCCGCGCTTGAAATTACTGATTTCCATCCAAAATTACTGATTTTTAGCTTTCAGATTACTGATTTTGGTTTCAGAGGTTGGCAGCTCTGGGGGCCGCCTCCTATTTTTTTTTTTTTGAAATTTTTTTGATTTTTTTTTTTTTTTTTTTTTTTTTTTGAAAGAAAAAAAAACAGCGTCCCCGCCTGCTTACTTTTTGGGGACCGCCTCCTATTTATTTTTTAAATTTTTTAAATTTTTTAAAAAAAATTTAATTTTTTTTTGTAATTGTTTAATATTTTTTTTTTTTTTTTTTTTTTTTTTTTTTTGAAAGAAAAAAAAACAGCGTCCCCGCCTGCTTCCTTTTTGGGGGCCGCCTCCTATTTTTATTATTTTTTTTTTTTTTTTTTTTTTTTTTTTTTGAAAGAAAAAAAACATGAAAAGCACTGCATAAATGTATTTCTGTTTTTAAAAAAAGAAAAAAAAAAAATTGTCGGCCGCCATCTTGAAAAATAGCCAGAGTGTCAGGGAAAATGTACGGAGCGGCCATTTTGAAAAAAAAAGAAAAAAAAAAGGGCCTCCTCCTTCCCAGTTTTCGAAAAAACAGGACGCTAAACATGTTTTTTTTTTTATTTGGCCTTATATATAAAAAAAAACAAAAAACGATCCAACTGTACCTGTAGTTATTCTTTAAGCCATTGCGTAGAGTTCCGTAGTGTGGCGTACCGACTACGCAGAAATTAGGCTGCATATTAATGGGAAAATAGTCCCTGCATAGGTTATGCGTAGGCTGGCGTACAGGTTTGCTTATGGTTGCTTACTGTGTAGAAAGCTTTTACTGCTTTGACGATATGGCGTAGGGTAGCGTACTGTTGCGTAAAAAGGCGTACTTTCTGCGTCAAGTTTCTACGCCGAAAGTACGCGAAAAAAATTAAACATGTTGAATTGTTTTCGTTCATCTTGCGTACCTCTTTCCGTCCCTCAGCATATAGTAACGTAGGCCAGCGTAGTTGGTACGCAACACTACGCAACTCTACGTATTGACCCCACGCCAATTAGTGACCCGCAAGTGTCACAAATAAAGTATTAAAAATATGCTCATCTGACCCTAAACGCCTAAACCCCCCAAGCTTTCGGGGGTTTATGGCCCCTTGAAACCCGTGGACCCCACGCCTATATTGTATATACACTCAACTCGCCGCGATCTGATCTCTCCCCCCCCCCCAACTTTGAAGAACGTAACCCCCGAGCTTTTGGGGGTTTATGGCCCCTTGAAACCCGTGGACCCCACGCCTATATTATATATACACTCAACTCAGTACCCGCGGAAACCGCGGGATTCTAGAGGGGGGCGCAGGCAAAAAATTAAGATTTTCATTTCGGGGGCTCCATTACAAATTTTTGGGAAATTTTTGGGGGCTACCTTTTCAACTTTCGGGGGCTCTTTTTTCTGGGGCTACTTTTTCATTAATTCATAAAAGGATAGGCCTACACTTTGTTGAGATTTGTTTAGTAGGCGAAGGTTTCAGGCTTAATACTTCATAGGTCTAATTGCCTATTTAAAAAAACAACATTTTTCTAGTTCAATAACTAAGTTTTCATGCATTGCTTTGATGCAAGAACTGTAACATTTAATAGATCTAGATTGTGATTATTTCTGACCATGAATTTCGATAATCATTTTTCAAAGTAAAATTTTCACAAGAAAATCAGACAGTCGTTTAAAAACGTAGACATTAGTAATACTTTTACTAATTCTAAGCTCAGGTTTCGTAAATCTATTCACGAAACTATATTGAAATCGTGATGCAAACCAACAGATAACAATTTCAAAGTGTCAAATCTCTTCGACTCGAGCTCAGCTCAGCTGATCGAACTCGCACACACTCCAGCGTAACTCCATGAAGCTCGAACACCGACGCCGCAGGCCTCGGAAGCCTGCGGTGCGCGGTGACGGTGTTACACTGCACTGTGTGTGTGAGGACTGAAGGCAGCTTGCGACTGCAACTGTCAGTCCAATGATTTTCTTGTGAAAACTTTCCTTTAGAAAGTGATAATCAAAATGTAGTATACATTAACCGTCATAATCACAAAATAAGCTTTGATTTCATACCTCCATTCACGAAAACTATATAAAAATCGCGGCAATAATGATGGAAATAGGTCTCTAAGTTTGGACGTGGACGGGAAGCTTCGTGTGTATCTCTGTTGCTTGTGCAGCGCTACTACAAAGGATATAGAAAGATGCTTTACTCAGGTAATCCCGACCCTGTCCATCGTGCATTTAATACGCAACTTAATGTGAGTGGATAGTCATCGGTCGTGTGTCTACGGATGCAATGTTGAATATCCATGAGGTATCTCTGTCGTCACGCATATCCTGCATTATGCATGTCGCGTCTGTTTTCGCCCTGGACGTCGACACGGAGGAGGACCTCGGGCGGAGTATAGCCAATTCGCTAGAGTAGACTCTCCCGCGGACGACGGCACCGGGCACGGGTACCCCGAGGGCAGGGTTCGGGAGGAGATAGCCGCACCAACTTGGGTCGGCGATCTCATTAAAAAACAATAGAATACAAAGGCTCGCCGAGACGTCGCGCCCCCCGCGGAGCCTTAGCGTATTACTATTATAGATTACAGGTAGGCCGAGGTGTTTAGGGCCACATGGGTATTATAAACTTGGTCATTGGATTGCATGGTCAATAATACCCCTTGTGGGTCTATAGATCTTGAGCCTTTGAGGAAACTGGACCTGGAAGCAAACAATAAGGTTTTACATACATGTAAGTAGCTTATTGATCAACTTGAAAGACCCTTAACTTCTTAAGTCAATGCTAAGTCTACAACTGTATCAGATTACACAATGTAACAAGGGATTAGTGGGTGTTAATCTTGGCTATTGAAAAGAGATTAGGGGATGCCAGACCAATTTGATCAAGTTTATAGTTACACTCTACAGCTTCATTCAACAGGTCTTTTACCTGACAAATTAGGTTCAAGCCTAATTTGTATGGAGACCAATTTCAAAGTAGGCTGAGCTTCAATGCAGTTAGTAGACTGAGTAGTAGGCCTACTTGATAACAATAATTATCATGATGGTTTTGTAATGTTGTCAATGGGGAAGAGAAGAAAATAGGAGGTACACAGAGAGCAGCCCTGGGTATTGTACATGTAGCTGAGTGGTTGGAGCAGTTGTAGGACTAGGACTCAGTAGGAGATCCAGGTTTGAGACGGGTCAATACACTTGGCTTTGGGTGGGACTTGAGACATCCTGCATTTCTAGTCCCATGGACAGGATTCAAAGTAATAGGTTTACTTGAATTGCTTTGTAGCATTTGCTCTAGTACCACTCCTTTAGAAGTGGTAGTGCTGCCATGAATCTTACACATGTACATGTATGTAGACCATTCACCTAGGTACTATTTACATGTGGTGCATACAGTGTAGCTACCCCACCCGACCTGAACGAGAAAATTAATCTTGTTCAATATAATTTGTATATATTTTCCTAAGATTATACGTGTACATGACTCATTTTCACATTGTACATGTAGGTATTCACCACAAGAATTGGAAAGAATACATGAGGCACAATTTAAATCATCAAAGCTTCAATAATTTTACATGAACATGTGCACAGATGCATTTCACAAGTTCCAATGTTCTTTGCCTTTCCATAATTGCACACACCCTATTCTGTTATTCTGTACCAATTGAGCATTAGAATGAAAGTGTCCATGGAAAACCTGTATTCAGCATCTTTTATTGACACCTCTCCTATTCACACTGCACAGCAGGACCCTGAACCCTGACAGCCAGCGTAAGACCCTGATGTAATGGGGAATAACAAATCGGACAAGAATAGAAAGAAAACTCAACTCATTAGACTTGTTCACACTTACAAAGTCTTATCTCTGTATAATTTGATCGAAGGAAAATATGCTTGAAAATTGTAGATGTGCAAAGATCATTTTACAGGATTGCTAGTCACATTATGAACTGATCGAGTCAGATATAAACATTCATTTATTTAGTGTTGTTGCTCTTGCACTGTTTAAAAATGCTTGGCACCTGTTGCATATATTTTCAGAATGAAATGAAAATTACTTTTCCAGTAATTTGTTGATTAATACATGTATGTAAGTTAATTTTTTTTCATTATGTATTACATTGATTTTCCCTATTTTTTTCACAAAACCAACCCATGCTAAATATGTCTGCATATGATATCTTCAAGTAGATTTCTTTTGCAGATTGAAATTATCAAGAAGAAAGGGTCAAGTATGAATGAAGGTTTTCGCAGAACACGTTCTAGCTATTGTCACTCAGTAGTAGGTAGTAAACATCTGCCACGTTGATTTACACTCCCCATGGTGAGATAACTGAACTGGGTGGAGCTTGACTGAAGAGAGACAGAGAGAGAGAGAGAGAAAGAGAGAGAGAGAGAGAGAGAGAGAGAGACAGACAGACAGAGAGAGAAAGAAAGAAAGAAAGAAAGAAAGAAAGAGAGGAGAGAAAGAGCGGAGAGAAAGAGCGGAGAGAAAGAGAGAGTGGGAGGAGAAAGACAACAGAGGAGAGGAGAGAGAATGGAAACGAGAGAGATCTTCATCTTCATCTTCATGGTTTATAGGCTCCAGCTAACCCTGTGCCCTTAAGAAAGTGGTACTGGTGTCATTTCAAGAAGCAGATAGAGCAGGACCTGACGAATCAATCTTTAAATGGAAGAGATTTACATCAGATGAGAATGTTGTTAGCACGTTCCTGGTATCTATTAGTACACACAGGTTTTGTAGCCTTTGAAGCATTTATTTTGGATGCAAAGATCACACAATAGTTGAGAGCTTTTGTAGAACTACCCAAGAACCATAGGTTGTCTAACTCCAGAGTGCATGTGTCCTTGTGTACATAGACCTACCTAGATTAATTGATTGGTCATTGGCCCCTGTGACAGTATCACCTATAGCTTCATTGAACATACTCAATCAAATTCCATTGAAACGAAGGAAAATCAATATCATCCATTCATCAGCTCATTTACCAATGGGTTATGTAACGCTAGCTTGACATAATAAGCGTAAGAGTGACTGTCCATGGGAGCACCATGTTGTTGGTATTTGAATGTGGATGACTCTTCTGATGACCTTCAGAGCTACGTCTAGGCATATCTCTTGACTGTGCGAGACATTCACATTTGGATCCTCAGGACCTCATTAGGGCTTTAGGTAAGAATTGTCACAGCAGGACACATGGACACCCAAAATATTAGACCTTACCTCCTAATTGCAAAATTGTTACAAATAAGGGTGCACCTTAGGGTGCATATAAGCTTAAATTTTGAAGGCAGAATGAGCGATTTGTAACGCTCATCGTAAACGCTCACCGTAATCGCAGTTCCACGGTGTACTGTTCATGCTCACTTCTCTGGCTCCTGGCTCCATGCGTAGACCCACTAGAGGTCAGTACGTTGACCCCATTTAAACGCGTTTACAAATTGTAAACGCATCTTTTTGAGAGTTTACGATCGTGATCGCCGTTTTTCGGTGCTTCTACAAAAGTGAGCATGGACGCAACCGTGTTTTAAACTAAATGCGTAACAGATGCCTGATTCTGGCCAGAAAAAGTTCAGCATAAACACGCCCTTAAAGTTGTTAATCTGGACCCGAACAAAACAGTGATTTACGGTGATTTTACCCTGTGTTAGGCAGACTAGACCTTGTATATATTTTAAGATTTAAATAATACCTATTATTGTAAAATTGTAAAAACGAGCGTAGATATTTAGCCCACTATTTTCAGGATTTCTCTGGATATTTTCTCGACCGAATAGCCCCCTAATTGCAACTGCGGGCTGATGAGGATGCAAATTAGCTGGCTGCTTTGAACAGGCTAGTTAAAATAGCGTAAACTTTATACTTTAGTCTGATGACGACAGGCCTGAACAGGCTTGATTCTAAGCTTGCTGTGTCATAGTAACCATAGAGATGGCTGATTCAACCACTGTATAATTGATCTTTTATTAGGCCCTTGCATCTTAGAGATGATAACTCCCTATGTACAGAGCAAGTTGAGACATTGCACTGTTATTTTATAGATAATGTATATTGATATTGTGCATTATGAAAGATGAAAAGTTAAGGTGCCCCCCTCTCTCTCTCTGTAGTTACTAGCTTGCAGGGTTCCAAAAATGCAAATGAGTTTATCTGTCAGCCAATCAAAACAGAGGAAATATATTTTCAGATCGAACAATTTGCAAGCTTGCAAGCTCGCAACAAGCTTGCTGCAAGCTTACAGGCAAGCTTGCAAAAAGCTCGCAGGCAAGCTTGCAAGCTTGCAGATTCTTAGACCTGAAAATATATATCCTCTGTTTTGATTGGCTGACAGATAAACTCATTTGCATTTTTGGAACCCTGCAAGCTAGTAACGAGCTTGAAACAAGCTCGCAGATCAAGCTTGCACCAATTTTCATAAGGGCTCTCCCCTCTCTCTCTCTGTAGTTGAGACAAAACCAATTGTGAAATCAAATAGTATGGAATAAACTTATTTTTCTTTCCTACTAAATTCATTTTGTCCTCCAGTTCAAATGACTATATGGTAGAAATTCCATTGGCCAGAAAATGGCATGAAACATTGATAAATTGCTTGTTTATGGTGGTTCTTACGTTGTTAGTGTTGATTAAGTTCCAAACGTTAACGACAAGGTTACAGTGTACATGTATGTTGCATTTGTTTATGCATGTTATAAAAATGGGATCTGGACTGAGCCAGAAAACGGTAGAGGAGTGTCCATGCCCTAGACTTTGACTCCTATCACCTTTCTCTTTATCTCTTGATGTTTTTGTTTTCACAGTGACTCTTGTGCACACACAGGACCGTTCCTCCAGCCTGTACTATCTGTACATGGTTAAGACTCGATAACGTTTATTTGCAGAACATTTTGAGTGACTGGATTATGTATTAATCAGGTGTTTGCGAAAAGGAATAGGGCGATCTTGTAGTAACTGCTTGTGAAAAGGAGTAAGGAAACTGAAAGCATGATATGTCTCAGTTACAGTACTATACTTGTAGTGCAGGTGAATTGGTGTTTATCTGATATGTTGACACAAGGAACAGCTTTATAATACCGGCCTATAAACACTCTGAATGGTCGTACATTGTAGAATCAGCTACAGGTACTGCATTTACTGGTGTAGGTCAAGTCTATATTCTTCCTTTACTCTAGTACAAAGAAATTCTTCTGCATGACACAATGTACCTGTTCATAATAATTTTGCTTTGTTTTTCTTCTTCATTGTTTGTGATGCTTCCTTTTATTTTTTTAAATATTTTTAAAATATCTCTAAAAAAATATTGATTTTGAATAAGAAGGGGGTTAGGACAATATTTCATGTACACTGTAGGCCTACACAAATATATACAATTACCTAGTAGTGTTATCTAGCAATTGAAAAGGGGACCAGATCTGTCACTCATGCTATTTATATCTCACACCTTTTATCACCTTTTATCAGTACATGTGTAGGTCAAGGGCTGCTTACAATCCTACTTTTTATTTAATTTATATTGTATGATGTCATTCCGTACAATGAAAAGAAACCATTTCAAAGCAAACAATGGTCAAACTTGAAGTCCCTGGAGCTGGCTGGACGAACCTCATTAGTAAGCCTCATTAGCTCCAAGCAGATACCAAACCGATACTGATGTTTTTTTTCTCTTTCTGTCCAACTCTTTGAGAAAGGCCCATGCAAACTCAGGATGCAGAGAATCAATAGAACTGGCGACAGTAACGGATCTTTTCCTTTTGGCACTTTACTAGTCTCAACTCCAGACTAACAGTGGTAATGGAATTATCCCCATCGTGTACTCTGATTGACCTGTGCACAATGTACATCCTGTTTTGTTATTAAGTGAGTACTTGACCTGAAGTTGTGTTTTTCAAACATACATGTACATGTATGTAGAGTAATCCTGTATTTGCTCTGGTGACAATTGCTCCGGGCTTTATTTTGCCAGGAAAATAGGTTAGGATTAAGGTTGAGATTGGGGTTTGGAGTCTAAGGTTGAGATTCAGGGGTAGGGTTAGGTATACATGCAGATGTATAGTGTTGGGTCCGGGTTCTATGGCAGGATTATCAGTTTCTGCAGGAAGTAACTGCAGAGAAATTGTCACAGGAACACATGTCCTACAACCATATTGACACCTATGCTTGACATTTACTTACAAGTAACAAACTTAGGAATATGGTTAAATAATAATGATAAATCCATAAACAGTGACCTGTGTTCAAGTGGTCCCTCTTTGAGACGGGTTTAATCAAATATGATCCTGGCACTAAAGAAATATTGTGCCTTGAGGTAGTTAAGCACTTATCCTGCATAAATGCGCGCATAAATATGCCACGTGGAAATGTGTTTCTCCAGAGGCAGTATGGAGTATTAAGCGTGTTTGACATTTCATACACTTGTACATGCATTTGAATATAAGAAGCGTTGAATCACATCCTCCGGAAAGTCTACAATGAGAACTGACAGTTAAAATACATGAGCGAGGAATCCAATAGAATCATGCCGTGAACAGCTTTGTTAGATAAAAGGCCTCTGATAGCTTCAGTGTATTAGTGGTTGAAAGCGTAGAACTTGCTCAAAGCGGTTCATAGAATGCATTTTATTGATTACCTATGCCTGTATTGTTCAATCGCCTTAAGTCATTCTGTCCCGCCATTCGAGTTGGGTCACTGTCCCCCTTTTCTGTCATTGTACCCCCCCCCCTTTCTACAGGTCAACTGTAGGTCAATGTTACTGGCTGAAAAAATTGTTTAGGGATCACTTACGTGTAAATTGCTTTTCAAAGGAAGCAATAGTATCCTAGGCCCTAGGGTGCCTTTTATAAAGTGTTTGATAATCTCAAGAAGAAAACGTTGCACATAGGTACTGCAAACTGATCTCGAAGTCTGACACGTACAGTCTGTATCATACCATGGATATGCTACCAACCATACATGTACCGGTATATCCCTGCACAAACCATATGTTCATGTACAGAGTATGCACTACCTGTACCGGTATGCACATTTACTAGCCGACTGCATCAGTGCAAATTAAGAGGGACGTGGTACACAAGTACACAAATAACTCAGATTCAAATTTTGGCGGACCCTAGTCCTCGCACCACGAGGAGAGAGAGAAATAAAGGAACACACTAATTACCAGCCTTTGTCTTCACACGCAGGCCCTTTGAATCACCCAACCCCAAAGACCACAGTCAATTCGCACTTCCTATCCAATGTTGATCAACGAAGAGCCTGTGCCAGGAGTCTAAGCCCTGCTAATTCCCTCCTATTCATTTTGCGCCATCCATCGGAGTACTATGCATACTACTAATGCCATTCATTACATTTGAAAAGCCTTAGCATTGAACTTTGAGCGAGACTGTTGGTATACTGTCTGTAGTCGAGTCTCTTTGCATTACAGGCAGCGCTGTTGAGCCAAACCTCCCCTCCCTTCTTTCGATCGTTCTCTCTGGAATTTATCTTGTTGGAATATATATATTCACCCAGGCTGCATTGTGTAATGTATTTCTAGCCCAAGGTCGATGCAACAGGAGTGGATATTATCATATTAATTTCAGGTATGTAACTACATGAACCAGTGGAGCCTGAGATCATATATCTTCAGGAGTGTGTTTTATGGGGGTATGTGTTGTGTGATTTATCGGCCATGCTATGCTGACAGAAAACTATCTTTGTAACCTTGCCACATAGCATCACGCTCTTCTCTCTCGTAGTGCGGTGACTATTATGCATGCAGCAGCCATCGTTGTTTAAATCTGGAATAGGATTTGGCATGCACAGTATGTTTCTGGCTCTATTGAATGGTCATCTTTAAATCACAAGATAACTGTGAAAATTGTCAGATTCAGACAAAAAGGTATGTTTACACTGGAGGATAGACCAGTACAAAGTCGTGATTGATGAAGAACAAAAAATATTCCCTTATTGATGCATGTGGTAAATGCTTTATTCGTATGACACAAAATAAGAGAATTATAGCAATCTATTTTTAAATTGTAATAGTGTAATGATGCATGGATATTGTTACATGGGCCTGATGGAGAAAGTCATACAATGTACCTGCTATTCTTCTTTATTTAAATACATGTGGTTAATTTAAGCGTGGTATTGTTCAAAGTGATTTATTAGATGTTGAGGTTGGAAAACTGATTGCC